GCTGCTTCCTGCAAGGCTAGTCAATGCTAATCATCAAGCTGGCCAATTGCAGCATTCACACTTGCCTCCAACAGACAAGAGTTTTTTCTCCCACACTGGACATCACTGGGTTGCTGGGAGTTTTCCAGCCTGTCTGGCCACGTTCCAGAAGCATTCTCTCCTGACGTTTTGCCCACATCTATGGCAGGCATCTTCAGAGGTTGAGAAGTCTGTTTAAAATGAGGCAAGTATGGAATGATGCTCAGGGTGGGAGAAAGAACTCTTGTCTGTTGGAGACTAGTAGGAATGTTGCAATTGGCTACCTCAATTAGCATTGAATAGCCTTGCAGTTTCAAAGCCTGGCTGCTTCCTGCAAGACTAGTCAATGCTAATCATCAAGGTGGCCAATTGCAGCATTCACACTTGCCTCCAGCGGACACTTACCTCCCTGGACATCATTCTACAGGGATATATATAAACCCCACTTGCCCAGTTTCCAACAGACTTCAGAACCTCTGGGCATACTTGCCATTAATGTGGGTGAAATGTCAGGAGAGAATGCTTCTGGTACATAGCCAAACAGCCTGGACAAAGAGCAACCCTAAGGACCACACAATGAAACAGGAAAGAATACTTTCGCACCAGGGAGAGAACGTTTTTTTGAAAATGTGGTTACATAGTGTAATCGAGTTAGAAGCCCATTCTTCCATGAAGGAAAAGCACAATCCAAGCACCCCTGACAGATGGCCACCCAGCCTCTGTTTCAAAGTTGCCAAGGAAGGTGTGGCAGGTGGGTGATTATGCCCCTCCCTCCCACCCCACTCCGGTGCCAAACCTTGTTCTCGATGCTCTCGTTGTCGCGGAGGAAGCGCTCAAAGGAGACGCGGGGCTGCCAGGGGTCGTTCTGCGCATAGATGCTGCTGCTGCGCTCCTCGGAGTCGTGCTGCTGCGTCACCGCCAAGTGGTACCTGGCCCGTGGGGGAGGGGAGGGGAGGGTGACATCGCTACCACCATCCTTGGGAAACCTCCCACCCCACCCCTTCTGAACCCCCCACACAAGATGAAGTTCAGCCTCCCTGAGCCAAAGGATGGCCCTGGGTCCCCAAGTGGAAGAGAGGCAGGTGCAATACACCTGGGCAGGTCTTCCCAGACGTCTGTTTAGGGAGCCCCCTGTCCAGCCACTCCAGCAGAAGCAGCCCTCCCAGTTTGAAACCCTACGTTGCCTTCCCACCTTTTGGGTTTGGAGACTCACAGCAATACAATAAGTCTCATGCTCTTCAAATTGGTTTCTTCCCAGGTTAGGAAGTAGAAAGGTGCAATTGGTGACGGAAACCCTGTTGCTGCACCAGCATGGGCAAACTTGGGCCTTCCATCCAGGTGTTTTGGGACTCCCACCATTCCTAAGAGCCTCAGACCCTTTCCTTTTCCTCCTCAGCAGCTCCATTCGCTGACAATAAGTTTCCGGTCCTGATTCAAAGTGCAAGGTGATGACCTACAAAACTCTAAAAGGTCCAGTTTGGGTCCTGCCTACCTTCATGACCACATAGAATCCAAGAGTTGGAAGAGACCTCCTGGGCCATCATCCAGTCCAACCCCATTCTTCCAAGAAGCAGGACAATTGCGTTCAAGGCACCCCCAACAGATGGCCAGCCAGCCTCTGTTTAAAAGCCTCCATAGAAGGAGCTTCTACCACACTTTAGGGCAGAGAGTTCCACTGCTGAACAGCTCTCAAAGTCAGGAAGTTCTTCCTAATGTTCAGGTTGAAGCTCCTTTGGCCAGCTAGTCTCTGTTTAAAGGCCTCCAAAGAAGGAGCCTCCGCCACACTCCGGGGCAGAGACTTCCACTGCTGAACAGCTCTCACAGTGAGGAAGTTCTTCCTCCTGTTCAGGTGGAATCTCCTTTCTTGTAGTTTGAAGCCATTGTTCCATTGCGTCCTAGTGTCTCCAGGGCAGCAGAAAGGAAGCTTGCTCCTTCCCCCCTAGGACTTCCCCTCACATACTGATCCATGGCCCCATCCTGTCTCCTCTCATCCTTCTCTTCTGCAGGCTAAACATGCCCAGCTCCTTAAGCCGCTCCTCATAGGGCTTGTCCCCCAGACCCTTGATCATTTTAGTTGCCCTCCTCTGGACACATTCCAGCTTGTCAATATCTCTCTTCAATTGTGGTTCCCAGAACTGGACACAGTGGGATTCCAGGTGTGGTCTCACCAAGGCAGAATAGCGCATGGGGAGCATGACTTCCCTGGACCTAGACACTATACATCTGTCAGGAGCCAGAGGAGAGCCCCTCGGACTTCGACGAGAGGATCTGCCAGACAGCCAAGCAGTGGACCAACGTGGACCCCTCTGATGCCCATTACACAAAACTATAAACCTTCTTTCCATGGCTAAGTCCACCAGCGACATCAGGCTGAAGCTCCAGAAGCTGGACGGTGGAGAAAGGATGCCCCTTTCCCCATTAATCAATCTTGCTTTTAAGGTTTTCCACAATCACGAGGATGCATCTGCCCAGAAGGAAGAGGAGGACCACAAGGCACAGGCAACACGTCCAAGCCACCAGCCTGGTGTCTGTCCTGGCCAAGAGGGACCGGGCAGCTGAGGAGGCTCACAACAGGAGAGGCCAACTTGGAGGGAAAGGACACAGCAGGGAGGGAGGAAGGGACCACAAGGAAGCCAGGTGTTTCACCTGCAACAGGCAGGGATATTTCAGGAGAGAGTGCCCAGAGAACAACAGGAGAGGAGCCCAAAGGGGGGGAGGTTATGTGACTAGGCAAGGAAGTGGCCTTGGCCCCCAGTGACCCGACTGTGCCCCTCAAGGTTGGGAAGAAGGCCGTGGATTTTCTCCTGGATAGTGAGGCCACTCCTTCAGTGGTCACTGAAGGGTTCAGGGGACAGAATTGGGGGCTAGGAAGACTCAGGTGGTGGGGGTCTCTGGGAAAGAGGCAGTGAGGTCTTTCCTCCGGCCCATGGAGTGCGAGGTGAGCACTTATTTCCAAATAATAATAGTCATAATTATGAAAAAGGAGACCAAGGAGGGCCTGATTCTGGCAGCCCAAGAACAAGGCATTCAAACCAATGCCATCAAAGACAGAATTGAAAAGTCAACGACAGATCCCAAATGTAGACTCTGCAAGGAAGCAGATGAAACAATAGATCCCATCCTCAGCTGCTGCAAGAAGATTGCGCAGACAGACTCCAAGCAGAGGCACAACACCCTTGCTCAGATGATTCATTGGAACTTGTGCCACAAACACCACCTGCCTGCAACAAGGAACAGGTGGGATCACAAGCCGGAAAGAGTTACAGAGAATGAACACGTCAAGCTACTCTGGGACTTCTGGATTCAAACAGACAGTTTTGGAGCACAACCCTCCTGACCTCACAATTGTGTTAAAGAACAAAGTATGGACTGTCGATGTCGCAATCCCAGGTGAGAGCAAGATTGCAAAGAAACAACTGGAAAAGCTGATACGATATGAGGATTTAAAGATCGAACTGCAAAGACTCTGGCACAAACCAGTCAAGGGGGTCCCAGTGGTGATTGGCACACTGGGTGCGATGCCGAAAGACCTTGGCCTGCACTTAAACACAATCGGCACTGACAAAATTACCATCTGCCAGCTGCAGAAGTCCACATTACTGGGATCTGCACACATTCTTCGCAGATACATCACACACTCCTAGACAATTGGGAAGGGTCCGACGTGGGATCCAATACAACAGCCAGCAGCGTGATCTTGTCTGCTGTGGACTCATCTTGTTGTGTTCCAAATAATAATAATGATAATAATAATAATAATAATAATAATAATAATAATAATAATAATAATACATCACACCGTCCTAGACACTTGGGAAGTGTCCAACGTGGCCCGGCCTTTGGTTTTAAATGTTTATATGCTGCTGTTGATTGCTTATTGTCTATTTTGTTTATGTGATTGTGATTTATATTGCATTGATTGTTTATTGATGTTTTATTTTATTGATGTTCTGTTTATTGATGTACTTTGGGCTTGGCCTCATGTAAGCCGCACCGAGTCCCTTGGGAATATGGTAGCAGGGTACAAATAAAGTGTTATTATTATTATTATTATTATTATTATTATTATTACTAGCTTGTGGACCTGGCGCTGCCCGGGTTATTAGAGAAAGTGGGTAATGGCGGTTCTGTATGCCAAGTTTGGTCTTTATTGGTCATTGGATAATGGCTGCATTGTTTTCAGGAAGTGAGTGAAGGTACTTGAAGTCCCATCATCCATGGTCCACCCTCCTCCAAACAGCAGCAGGATATAGAGTGGGTCATGGGGGCTCTGTGTGCCAAGTTTGGTCTTTATCAGTCATTGGATGAGGGTGGTAGTGGTTTCAGTAAGTGAGTGAAGGTAATGCAAGTCCCATCATCCAAAGTCCATCCTCCTTCAAACTGCAGCAGGATGTAGAGTGGGTCATGGGGGCTCTGTGTGCTAAGTTTGGTCTTTATCAGCCATTGGATGAGGGTCGTAGTGGTTTCAGTAAGTGAGTGAAGGTAATGCAAGTCCCATCATCCAAAGTCCATCCTCCTTCAAACTGCAGCAGGATATAGAGTGGGTCATGGGGGCTCTGTGTGCCAAGTTTGGTCTTTATCAGCCATTGGATGAGGGTGGTAGTGGTTTCAGTAAGTGAGTGAAGGTAATGCAAGTCCCATCATCCAAAGTCCATCCTCCTTCAAACTGCAGCAGGATGTAGAGTGGGTCATGGGGGCTCTGTGTGCTAAGTTTGGTCTTTATCAGCCATTGGATGAGGGTCGTAGTGGTTTCAGTAAGTGAGTGAAGTGACTGCAAGTCCCATAATCCAAATTCCATCCTCCTTCAAACTGCAGCAGGATGTAGAGTGGGTCATGGGGGCTCTGTGTGCTAAGTTTGGTCTTGATCAGTCATTGGATGAGGGTGGCAGTGGTTTCAGTAAGTGAGTGAAGGTACTGCAAGTCCCATCATCCAAAGTCCATCCTCCTTCAAACTGCAGCAGGATGTAGAGTGGGTCATGGGGGCTCTGTGTGCAAGTTTGGTCTTGATCAGTCATTGGATGAGGGTGGCAGTGGTTTCAGTAAGTGAGTGAAGGTACTGCAAGTCCCATCATCCAAAGTCCATCCTCCTTCAAACTGCAGCAAGATGTAGAGTGGGTCATGGGGGCTCTGTGTGCTAAGTTTGGTCTTGATCAGTCATCGCATTAGGGTCGCAGTGGTTTCAGTAAGTGAGTGAAGGTACTGCAAGTCCCATCATCCATGGTCAACCCTCCTCCAAAACTGCAGTAGGATATAGATATAGATATAGAAGATATAGATTATTGTTATTGTTATTGTTATATCCAATACTACAGCCAGCAGAGTGATCTTGTCTGCTGTGGACTCATCTTGTTGTGTTTCAAATAGTAATAATTGGAAAAGGAAAAGGAAGGGGCCTGTCAGGGATCGTGGAAGCTGAAGTCCAAAACACCTGGAGGGTCAGGGAAGGAGGGAGGGAGGGAGGGAGGGAGGGCCCAAATTGGCCCAGGCCTGGTTTATACCCTGCCTTTGCTCTCCACAAGGAGACTCATAGCAGCTATCTATTGGTATTATTATCGTTATCATCATCATCATCTTTCTGTATTCCCTCCGCTGTTTCTCTCTGAAGAGAGGCTAAATCAGCTCTCTGGCATTCCCCACCCCAGGGGGGCTCTTGAGGCCACTTAGCCGGGCCTCTGGTCCATTCACCTGCTCCAGGAGACGCCCCGCTCCTCTTTCCAGCCTCGGGGGAGGATGGGCCCAGCATGGGAGAAGGGCTGGAGGCGAAAGGAGCGCCGGTGACCCCAGCGGTTCCTCCGGGCCAGGTTGCGGAAGAGCAGGTAGCGGGGCAGTGGGGCACCCACGGGGAAGGCGGCCTGGCGCTCCCGGGACCGCGGCTTCCGCTCCAGGAAGGGCTGCACCATGCGTTCCTCTGGCGCCCACGGCACGGAGATGTTCTCCAAGCCTAGCTCCATGGTCTCAAAGGAGTTCTCCGTCCCTGAAGAAGAGGAAGAAGGAAAACTTAGTATGAGGGTCACCCAGGGGTCATCTAGTCCAGCCCTTTCCCTTGGAAGACCAGGGAGTGGGAAAGAGGGAGGAAAGGAGGGAGACCCAGCCCTCCCCAGCAAGACTCTCTAAGGCAGTGTTTCTCAACCTGGGGGTCGGGACCCCTGGAGGGGTCACAAGGGGGTGTCAGAGGGGTCGCCAAAGACCATCAGAAAACACAATATATTCTTTTGGTCATGGGGGTTCTGTGTGGGAAGTTTGACCCAATTCAATCATTGGTAGGGTTCAGAATGCTCTTTGATGGTAGGAGAACTAAAAATCCCACGGACTACAACTCCCAAATGTCAAGGTCTGTTTTCCCCAAACTCCGCCAGTGTTCTCAATTGGGAATATTGAGAATTCCTGCCAAGTTTGGTCCAGATCTATCATTGTTTGAGTCCACAGTGCTCTCTGGATGTCGGTGAACTACAACTCCAAAACTCAAGGTCAATACCCACCAAACTCTTCCAGTATTTCCCGTTGGTCATGGGGGTTCTGTGAGGGAAGTTTGGCCCAATTCAATCATTGGTAGGGTGCAGAATGCTCTTTGATGGTAGGAGAACTAAAAATCCCAGGAACTACAACTCCCAAATGTCAAGGTCTGTTTTCCCCGAACTCCACCAGTGTTCTCAATTGGGAATATTGAGAATTCCTGCCATGTTTGGTCCAGATCTATCATTGTTTGAGTCCACAGTGCTCTCTGGATGTAGGTGAACTACAACTCCAAAACTCAAGGTCAATACCCACCAAACCCAGTATTTTCCGTTGGTCATGGGGGTTCTGTGTGGGAAGTTTGGCCCAATTCAGTCATTGGTAGGGTTCAGAATGCTCTTTGATGGTAGGTGAACTATAAATCCCAGCAACTACAACTCCCACAGGATAAAATCAATCCACTCCACCAACCCAACTAGTATTCAAATTTGGACGTATTGGGTATTTGTGCCAAATTTGGTCCAATGAATGAGCGTACATCCTGCATACCAGATATTTACATTACGATTCACAACAGCAGCAAAATGACAGTTGTGAAGTAGCAACCAAAATAATTTTATGGTTGGGGGGTCACCGTAACACGAGGAAGTGTATCAAGGGGTCGTGACATCAGGAAGGTTGAGAACCACTGCTCTAAGGGACCCAGGACTCAGGACCCAGTCCAGCCCCCGTCCACACTCTCCCTTGATCCCCTTCTTAACCAAGGAAGGAAGGAAGGAAGGAAGGAAGGAAGGAAGGAAGGAAGGAAGGAAGGAAGGAAGGAAGGAAGGAAGGAAGGAAGGAAGGAAGGGGTTCACGAGGAGGGAGGGAGAGAGAGAGGCAATCAATAAAGAGCAAAACTCAAACACAGGGGAGCTCCAGACAAGAAACAATCAGGAACAGCTAATCACCTCTCAACAAAAGATTCCCCCAGGCGTTAACAAGCCACACAAAAAAAAACTGGCAGGCCATCAAATGCTAATCAAGGTGACCATAGAATCATAGAATCATAGAATCCTAGAGTTGGAAGAGACCTCATGGGCCATCCAGTCCAACCCCCTTCTGCCAAGAAGCAGGAATATTGCATTCAAATCACCCCCCATTCTGTATCTTTGCATTTCGTTTTTTCTGCCAAAGTGGAGTATCTTGCATTTGTCACTGCTGAACTTCATTTTGTTAATTTTGGCCCATCTCTCTAATCTGTCAAGACCAATTAAAACATTCACACCTAGCTCCAACAGACTTTCCACAGATATATAAACCCCACTTTTCCTAGTTTCCCACAGACCTCACAACCTCTGAGTACGCCTGCCATAGATGCAAGCCATACGTCAGGAGAGAATGCTTCTAGAACTTGGCCATACCACCTGGAAAACTCACAACAACCCATTATTATTATTATTATTATTATTATTATTATTATTATTATTATTAATCTTTTACTCTGTGTATTGCAGCTATACCCCAACAAAGGGTTATGGGCCCAGCACATATTAGTAATAATAATAATAATAATAATAATAATAATAATAATAAGTCATTATCATCATCCTGCCTTGATCAATGAGGGAAGTCCCTGTTTCTAAATAATAATAATAAAGTTTTATTGCTTTTTAAATTATTATTATTCTATATTTATGGTGGAATCATCCCAACAGAGGATTATTTTTAAGGCTAACAGGCCCAACAAAGGGTTATGGGCCCAGCACATAATAATAATAATAATAATAATAATAATAATAATAATAATAATAAGCAATTATCACCATCCTGCCTTGATCAATGAGGGGACTCCCTATTTCTAAATAATAGTAGCAATAATAATAATAATAATAATAATAATAATGTTTTATTGTTATTGTTATTGTTATTATTCTGCTATATTTATGGTGTAATCACCTCAACCAACGGTCATTTTGAGCCTAACAGCTCTGATTCCCCAACATATTCGTAGTAGTAATAATAATAAGCCATTATCATCATCCTGCCTTGATCAATGAGGGGTGTCCCTGTTTCTAAACAATAATAAAGTTTATTTATTTACATATTTACAGTATTTATATTCTGCCTTTCTCACCCCTGGGGAGGACTCAAAAGCGGGCTACCTCCATGCCTGATTCTAATAATAATAATAATAATAATAATAATAATAATAATAATAATAATATTCTGCTATATTTATGGTGGAATCACCCCAACTAAGAGTTGTTTTGAGCCTAACAGCTCAGATTCCCCAACAACGGGTTATGGGCCCAGCACGTATTAGTAATAATAATAATAATAATAATAATAGGCCATTAGCATCATCTTGTCATATGTTCTGAAGTTGATGGTTGGTGATGGAAGGGTTAATGTGAGTATTAGTTCTAGAGGGTTTGGTAATCTGTGAGTGGGAGTTCATGGGTGAGAGCAATGAGGGGTGGAGGTGTGCAGGAGACGGGTTGCAGCTGGGTGTTACTGGATTTAAGGAGCTAACCTTGGCACTGATATTTGGGAGAAATGTGTTGCATTTTGGTGGTGGATGCTGCTGGTTTTTCCCCCCAGGTCTGTTGGATTTTCAGTATCCTGACCTGTCTCCTGTAACCTTGGAACCCTGGAACCTTGAACCTTTGGACTGGCTTTGGACTACGGTATACACCAGTGGTTCTCAATGTTCCTAATGCCGCGACCTCTTAATACAGATCCTCATGTGGTGGTGACCCCCAGCCATTAAATTATTTTCATTGCTACTTCATAATTGTAATTTTGCTACTGTTATGAATCATTATGTAAATATCTGGTATGCAGGATGTAGTCTTATTGGAGTGTTATGGGAGGATTGATTTTGTAATTTGGGAAAATACTGGAAGGATTTGGTGGGCATTGACCTTGAGTTTGGGAGTTGTAGTTCACCTACATCCAGAGAGCACTGTGACTCAAACAATGATGGATCAGGACCAAACTTGGCACAAATTCTCAATACGCCCAAATGTGAATACTGGTGGAGTTTGGGGGAAATAGACCTTGACATTTGGGAGTTGTAGTTGCTGGGATTTATAGTTCACCTACATTCAAAGAGCATTCTGAACTCTACTAACGATGGAATTGGACCAAACTTGGCACACAGAACTCCCATGACGGAAAATACTGGAAGGGTTTGGTGGGCATTGACCTTGAGTTTGTGAGTTGTAGTTTGCCTACACCCAGAGAGTACTGTGGATTCAAACAATGATGGATCTGGATCCAACTTGGCACGAATATTCAATATGCCCAAATGTGAACACTGGTGAAGTTCGAGGAAAATAGACCTTGACATTTGGGAGTTGTAGTTGCTGGGATTTATAGTTCACCTACAACCAAAGAGCATTCAGAAGCCCACCAATGATAGAATTAGGCCAAACTTCCCACACAGACCAACAGAAAATACTATCTGTGAAGGTCTTTGGTGACCCCTCTGACATCCCCTCGCGACCCCTCCAGGGGTCCCGACCCCCAGGTTGAGAACCACTGGTATAGACTCTTGATCCCTGGACTGTTTATTGAACTCTTGGCATCTTACCACTGGACTGGACCCTTTGGACTATGAAGTTATTTTTGCTATCAGTTTTTGTTTATTCTGCAGCTGTGTGCTATCTTTGTGTTTGATATTTTGGACTATAAAAACAGCCAGCAAGTAAGTGCTGTTTAAATTAAACTGTTTGTTAAAACTGGGAGTTTGATTCATCTCTACCTGAATAAGGCAGAGCCCTGGCAAAGTGACACATCCTGCCTTGATAAAATTGGGATTTTGATTCATCTCTACCTAAATAAGGCAGAGCCCTGGCAAAGTGACACATCCTGCCTTGATAAAATTGGGAGTTTGATTCATCTCTACCCAAATAAGGCAGAGCCCTGGCAAAGTGACACATCCTGCCTTGATAAAATTGGGAGTTTGATTCATCTCTACCTAAATAAGGCAGAGCCCTGGCAAAGTGACACATCCTGCCTTGATAAAATTGGGAGTTTGATTCATCTCTACCTAAATAAGGCAGAGCCCTGGCAAAGTGACACATCCTGCCTTGATAAAATTGGGAGTTTGATTCATCTCTACCTAAATAAGGCAGAGCCCTGGCAAGGTGACACATCCTGCCTTGATAAAATTGGGAGTTTGATTCATCTCTACCCAAATAAGGCAGAGCCCTGGCAAAGTGACACATCCTGCCTTGATAAAATTGGGAGTTTGATTCATCTCTACCCAAATAAGGCAGAGCCCTGGCAAAGTGACACATCCTGCCTTGATAAAATTGGGAGTTTGATTCATCTCTACCCAAATAAGGCAGAGCCCTGGCAAAGTGACACATCCTGCCTTGATAAAATTGGGAGTTTGATTCATCTCTACCCAAATAAGGCAGAGCCCTGGCAAAGTGACACATCCTGCCTTGATAAAATTGGGAGTTTGATTCATCTCTACCCAAATAAGGCAGAGCCCTGGCAAAGTGACACATCCTGCCTTGATAAAATTGGGAGTTTGATTCATCTCTACCCAAATAAGGCAGAGCCCTGGCAAAGTGACACATCCTGCCTTGATAAAATTGGGAGTTTGATTCATCTCTACCCAAATAAGGCAGAGCCCTGGCAAAGTGACACATCCTGCCTTGATAAAATTGGGAGTTTGATTCATCTCCACCCAAATAAGGCAGAGCCCTGGCAAAGTGACACATCCTGCCTTGATAAAATTGGGAGTTTGATTCATCTCTACCCAAATAAGGCAGAGCCCTGGCAAAGTGACACATCCTGCCTTGATAAAATTGGGAGTTTGATTCATCTCTACCCAAATAAGGCAGAGCCCTGGCAAAGTGACACATCCTGCCTTGATAAAATTGGGAGTTTGATTCATCTCTACCCAAATAAGGCAGAGCCCTGGCAAAGTGACACATCCTGCCTTGATAAAATTGGGAGTTTGATTCATCTCTACCCAAATAAGGCAGAGCCCTGGCAAAGTGACACATCCTGCCTTGATAAAATTGGGAGTTTGATTCATCTCTACCCAAATAAGGCAGAGCCCTGGCAAAGTGACACATCCTGCCTTGATAAAATTGGGAGTTTGATTCATCTCTACCCAAATAAGGCAGAGCCCTGGCAAAGTGACACATCCTGCCTTGATAAAATTGGGAGTTTGATTCATCTCTACCCAAATAAGGCAGAGCCCTGGCAAAGTGACACATCCTGCCTTGATAAAATTGGGAGTTTGATTCATCTCTACCTAAATAAGGCAGAGCCCTGGCAAGGTGACACATCCTGCCTTGATAAAATTGGGAGTTTGATTCATCTCTACCCAAATAAGGCAGAGCCCTGGCAAAGTGACACATCCTGCCTTGATAAAATTGGGAGTTTGATTCATCTCTACCCAAATAAGGCAGAGCCCTGGCAAAGTGACACATCCTGCCTTGATAAAATTGGGAGTTTGATTCATCTCTACCTAAATAAGGCAGAGCCCTGGCAAAGTGACACATCCTGCCTTGATAAAATTGGGAGTTTGATTCATCTCTACCCAAATAAGGCAGAGCCCTGGCAAAGTGACACATCCTGCCTTGATAAAATTGGGAGTTTGATTCATCTCTACCCAAATAAGGCAGAGCCCTGGCAAAGTGACACATCCTGCCTTGATAAAATTGGGAGTTTGATTCATCTCTACCCAAATAAGGCAGAGCCCTGGCAAAGTGACACATCCTGCCTTGATAAAATTGGGAGTTTGATTCATCTCTACCCAAATAAGGCAGAGCCCTGGCAAAGTGACACATCCTGCCTTGATAAAATTGGGAGTTTGATTCATCTCTACCTAAATAAGGCAGAGCCCTGGCAAGGTGACACATCCTGCCTTGATAAAATTGGGAGTTTGATTCATCTCTACCCAAATAAGGCAGAGCCCTGGCAAAGTGACACATCCTGCCTTGATAAAATTGGGAGTTTGATTCATCTCTACCCAAATAAGGCAGAGCCCTGGCAAAGTGACACATCCTGCCTTGATAAAATTGGGAGTTTGATTCATCTCTACCCAAATAAGGCAGAGCCCTGGCAAAGTGACACATCCTGCCGTGATAAAATTGGGAGTTTGATTCATCTCTACCCAAATAAGGCAGAGCCCTGGCAAAGTGACACATCCTGCCTTGATAAAATTGGGAGTTTGATTCATCTCTACCCAAATAAGGCAGAGCCCTGGCAAAGTGACACATCCTGCCTTGATAAAATTGGGAGTTTGATTCATCTCTACCCAAATAAGGCAGAGCCCTGGCAAAGTGACACATCCTGCCTTGATCAATGAGTGGAGAGTCCCTATTTCTAAATAATAACAATAAAACAATTATGCCCGTCGCCACGCCCTCCCCCCCCCCCGCCTTGATCCCGGGGGTCCTGGGAGGGGTGGTGCCTTGACCGGGGGAGTGCCTATTTCCCGGCCCCCTCCCCCCTCCCCTCTCCTCACCGGCCACGTCGAGGTCGACCTTGTAGTGGACGAGGTGGGTGTGGAGGTTCCCGAGGAGGTGTTCCTGGACGCGGGTGCCGTAGCGAAGCCCGTGGGGGGTGAAGAAGGAGGCGTGGAGGTACCCGGTGGCGCTGACGCGGGCCTCGAGGACCCCGTTGGCGTGGAAGAGGAAGTCCCAGAGGTAGTCGTAGTTGTAGACGGTGGAGGAGGCGCGGAGGACGAGGGCGGCGCCGGGCAGCCCCCCGTAGAAGCGCGCCGTGGAGCCCGTGGGCGAGGCCGAGGAGAAGTCCGGGTCGAAGTGCCGCCGGAGCGGGGTGCCCGTGGGGGCCTCGAAGAGGCAGAGCGCGCGCGGGAGGCGGAGGGGCCCCGCCGAGTTGTAGAGGTGGTGGGCGTCCACGAAGGCGGCGCCGGGCGGGCAGTCCACGGAGGGGGCCAGCTCGTGCGTGGCCGCGCCCATCCCCCACCCGGCGTCCACGAAGCGCGTCTGCATGGCGGCCGGGGAGGCCCCCCCGTAGAAGGCCAGCGCCTCCTGCACGCTCACCTCGTAGGCCACGCGAGACCCCCCGAAGCGCACGTCCAGCAGCTGCGGGCCCGACGAGGAGCGCAGGCGGAAGGAGAAGCGCCACCCGCGGTACGAGACGCGGTTCCCACGCAGCGAGAAGGGCCTCTCCGTGGGCGGGGGGCAGGTCTCCGCTGCGGGGGGCTCTTCCTCCGTGGAGAACTCCCCCCGCGGCGCGAAGGAGGCGAACCCGCCGTCGGGCTCCACGGGAGGCAGGCGCACCACTTCCAGCTCCCCTCGCGCGTGGAGGGAGGCCAGCTCGTCCACGCCGCTATAGTATTTCCCGTTGTACCAGAGGCGCTGGAGGCTCCACTCCCGCGGGTCCAAGTGGCGGTGGTCGAGCAGCACCTCGAGGCCCGTGGGGTGGAGGAAGAAGCCCTCCACGCCGCGCTGCAGCATCACCCACGAGCGCCGCTCCCCGGAGGCTAGTCCACGCGGGGCCACGTCGGTCAGCGCCAGGCACTTGCTCCCGCAGCCGGGGCCGAAGGAGAATCCGCCCGTGGACTCCTCCAGGAAGGCCGAGAGCGGGGAGAGCAGCTCCGAGAGGCGCGCGTGGATCAGGCCGGCCTCCTCGTGGGTCACGGGCCGCGAGGCGAAAGGCAGCGGGCGTCCGGAGGGGCGCAGCCAGGTGGGCGAGGGCAGCGGGCCCACCAGGTACTCCGTGACGTTGGGGGAAGGCCCCGCCCCGAAGAAGACCACGGCGCGCGCCCGGCGGGGGGGAGGGGGCCGCCCACGCGTGGAGTGTAGCGCCCGCAAGGCCGCCCGCTTGGGAGGGGGCTCCAGCTCCACCAGGAAGAGCTGGTTCCGCGCCAGGGAGGGCGGGGAGTGGGAAGAAGGGTCCCGCGCGAGACCCAGCTCCGGCCGCCCCACCAGGAAGTCCCGCACCGCCCCCAGCTCCGCCGCAGACAGGTCCCCGAACAGCCACGACGACGCCCACGCCTCCCCCTCCTCAGGAGCCCTCTGGGGGGTCGCCAGGGGAGGAAGGAGAAGAAGGAGGACCCCCAGAAGAAGGGCGGAAGGAGCCATCGCCACGCGGAGGAGGAGGGACATCTGTCGGGAGGGATCGGGTGGAGCTCTCCTGCCTGGAAGAAAGAAAGACAGAAAGAAAGAAAGAAAGGGGTTCGGCTGGATGCTCACTTAGGCTCTCTTCCCACATCATTGATCTAATCTCATTTGGATGTTTTTGAACTGCAAGGTCGACAGAAGCTGGGCCTAACAGCAGGAGCTCACCCCACTCCCCAGATTTGACCTGCCAACCTTTCGGTCAGCAAGTTCAGCAGCTCGGCAGAAGCGGTACCCATTGATCTACTCACATTTGCATGTTTTTGAACTGCTAGGTTGGCAGAAGCTGGGCCTAACAGCGGGAGCTCACCCCACTCCCTGAATTTGAACTGGCAACCTGTCAGTCAACAAGTTCAGCAACTCAGCGGTTTAACTTGCTTTGCCAGCAGAAGCTGGGCCTAACAGCAGGAGCTCACCCCACTCCCCAGATTTGACCTGCCAACATTTCAGTCAGCAAGTTCAGCAGCTCAGCGGTTTCCTTCCTGTAGAAGCGGTACCCATAGATCTACTCACATTTGCATGTTTTTGAACTGCTAGGTTAGCAGAAGCTGGGCCTAACAGCAGGAGCTCACCCCACTCCCCGGATTCAACCTGCCAACCTTTCGGTCAGCAAGTTCAGCAGCTCAGCAGTTACGTTCCTGCAGAAACAGTACCCATTGATCTACTTGCACTTGCATGTTTTGAACTGCTAGGTTGGCAGAAGCTGGGCCTAACAGCAGGAGCTCACCCCACTCCCCGGATTCAACCTGCCAACCTTTCGGTCAGCAAGTTCAGCAGCTCGGCAGTTACGTTCCTGCAGAAACAGTACCCATTGATCTACTTGCACTTGCATGTTTTGAACTGCTAGGTTGGCAGAAGCTGGGCCTAACAGCAGGAGCTCACCCCACTCCCCAGATTTGACCTGCCAACCTTTCGGTCAGCAAGTTCAGCAGCTTGGCAGTTACCTTCCTGCAGAAGTAGTACCCATTGATCTACTTGCACTTGCATGTTTTGAACTGCTAGGTTGGCAGAAGCTGGGCCTAACAGCAGGAACTCACCCCACTCCCCAGATTCGACCTGCCAACCTTTCGGTCAGCAAGTTCAGCAGCTTGGCGGTTACCTTCCTGCAGAAGGTAACCGCCATTGATCTACTAACATTTGCATGTTTTCAAACTGCTAGATTAGCAGAAGCTGGGACTAACAGCAGAAGCTCACCCCTCTCTCCAGATTCGACCTGCCAACCTTTCGGTGAGCAAGTTCAGCAGATCAGCAGTTACCTTCCTGTAGAAGCGGTACCCATTGATCTACTCACATTTGCATATTTTTGAACTGCTAGGTTGGCAGAAGCTGGGGCTAACAGCAATGGAGCTCACCCCGCTCCTTGGATTCGAACCACCGACCTTTCAGTCAGCAAGTTCAATAGCTCAGCACTTAAACTTGCTGTGCCACCAGGAGCCCTGATCGACTTGGCTATATAACAATAAATAGATAGACAAATCTATATAAATAAGAATGTCATGTTCGTGTGTGGGATTAGCATGACTCAAAAACCACTGGACGAACTGACACCAAATTTGGACACAAGACACCTCTCAGGCCAACGAGTGACCATCACTCATAAAAACACTGAAAAACACAACAAAAGGGACTTCAAAAGCCAAAAAAACAAAAAACACATTACAACTCATGCACAAAACCACCTATATAAACAAACACACATATATAAACAAATATATACACACATATATGCACACACAAAACACATATACACAGAAAGGGGAAGGAAGGAAGGAGAAGGAAGGAAGGAGAAGGAAAAGAAAGGAAAAGGAAGGAAAGGAAGGAGGAGGGAAGGAGGGAAGGAAGAAAAGAGTAGAGAAGGAAGGAGAGGAAAAAAGGAAGAAGGAGGAAAGAGAGGGAAGGAGGGAGGGAGGGAGGAAGAGAGAAGGAAGAAAAGAGAGAAGGGTAGAGAAGGAAGTAAGAAGGAAAAAGGAAGAAGGAAGGAAAAGGAGGGAGGGAAGGAAGGAAGGAGAGGGAGAGAGGGAAGGAAGGAAGGAAGGAAGGAGAGAAGGAGGGAATGAGAGAAGGAAGAAAAAAGAGAAAGGTAGGGAAGGAAGGAAAGAAGGAAATAAAGTGAAGAAGGAAGGAGGGAGGGAGGGAGGGAGGGAAGGAAGGAAGGAAGGAAGGAAGGAAGGAAGGAAGGAAGGAAGGAAGGAAGGAGAGAAGGAAGAAAAGAGAGAAAGGTAGAGAAGGAAGGAGCGAAGGAAATAAACTGAAGAAGGAAGGAAAGAGAGGGAAGGGAGGGAGGGAGGAAGGAGAGAAGGAAGAAAAGAGAAGGGTAGAGAAGGAAGGAGAGAAGGAAATAAAGTGAAGAAGGAAGGAATGAGAGGGAGGGAAGGAAGGAAGGAGGGAGAGAGGGAAGGAAGGAAGGAAGGAGAGAAGGAAGAAAAAAGAGAAAGGTAGGGAAGGAAGGAGAGAAGGAAATAAAGTGAAGAAGGAAGGAGGGAGGGAGGGAGGGAGGGAAGGAAGGAAGGAAGGATGTTATGAACCAAAGAGGTTCCTGTTCTTTTGTGCAGAGTGTATAAGGAATAGTGAGGTAGTTTAGATCAATGAGACACTTCGGAGACCAAATTTGGTTTTGACACTGTTCATGTAACTTTTATTGAAATATAATCAACACAGAATCATTTCAGGATCACATCAAGGAGAGTTCTCTTGCACACACACATTCACGCATACTCACGCACACCAGGCCTCCTCCGGCGAAGATGATCAGTCTTTTCCGAGGAAACGTGGACACCCGTTGCTGCAGTTCAGGAAGTGTGAATGTCGTTGGGGACCCCCTGTATTTATAGGCCAAAAATCCATTTCTCTTTCTCGTAATCAGGTCGTTCTGACCTTTTTGAGCTCTTCCAAGTTCTTGTCCTTTCCAAAGTTCAAGATGTACACATTCCAGATCTTTATGATCTATGGGGTACCTTCTGCACACTCCTTCTCCTCCTTACGTGTTTGATCGCATACCTCATTATTCACTGTCATTTAGGTATGCCTTGTTGCCTCCTCGCTGAGGCTGCCAGATTCGTCCCGTATCATGCCTTGTTGTCTCCTCGCTTAGGCTGCCAGGTTCATCCCGTCATGCCTTGCGAATCCATGTTGGTTTTGTCTCTTCAGGCCTGTTTCTTCTGCCCTTCCACATGCATTCTGAACATTCATTCTTTACAAGGAAGGAAGGAAGGAAGGAAGGAAGGAAGGAAGGAAGGAAGGAAGGAAGGAAGGAAGGAAGGAAGGAGAGAAGGAAGAAAAGAGAGAAAGGTAGAGAAGGAAGGAGAGAAGGAAATAAAGTGAAGAAGGAAGGAAAGAGAGGGAGGGAAGGAAGGAAGGAAGGAAGGAAGGAGGGAGGGAGGGAGGGAAGGAAGGAAGGAAGGAAGGAAGGAAGGAGGGAAGGAGGGAATGAGAGAAGGAAGAAAAGAGAGAAAGATAGAGAAGGAAGGAGAGAAGGAAATAAAGTGAAAGAAGGAAGGAAAGAGAGAAAGGAAGGGGAGAAGGAACGAAAGAGAGAAAGAAGGAGGGAAGGGATAAAAGAGACAAGGAAGGATGGAACCGAAGAGCAAATGAAGCGAGGAAAGAAACAGGTAGAGAAGGAAGAAAGAAGAAGGGAAAGAAAAAGAGAGAAAGAAGGAAAGATGGAGGGAAGAAGAGAAAGAAAGAAAGAAAGTAAGAAAGAAAGAAAGAAAGAAAGAAAGGAGAGAAACAGGGAAGGCTGGCCACAGCAACGCGTGGCAGGTGCAGCTAGTCTATATAAATAAAAATGTAATGTTTGTTTGTGGGATGAACATAACGCAAAAACCACTGGATGAATTTATTGTCGAAGGCTTTCATGGCCAGAATCAGTGGGTTGTTGAAGGTTTTTTCGGGCTATATGGCCATGTTCTAGAGGCATTCTCTCCTGACATTTCGCCTGCATCTATGGCAAGCATCCTCACAGGTAGTGAGGTCTGTCACTGGACGAATTGACACCAAATTTGGACACAAGACACCTATCAGGCCAAAGAGTGACCATCACTCAGAAAAACACGGAAAAACACAGCAGAAATGACTTTTAAAGCCAAAAAAATAAAAAATATTACAACGCATGCGCAAAACCACATATATAAACATATACACAAATATATACACACACACATATATATACACACACACAAACCACATATACACAGACTGGACCACAGCAACCCATAGCAGGGGACGGCTAGTATATAATAATACTAAATAAATAAACTAAAAGCTGGGTTGTTGTAGGTTTTTCGGGCTATATGTTCTAGAAGCATTCTCTCCTGACATTTCGCCTACATCTATGGCAAGCATCCTCAGAGGTTGTGAAAGCCTTTGACAAAATAAAGGCCATTTAACCCAAATCAATATAATAGAGTCGGAGTAAGTTCATCAAAGACTTAAAAGATGGTATTGATACCATACAAAGTGAGTGTCTAGATGCAAGAGGTAAATAACAACACAGGAACAATAGGATGTATTAAAACGGTTTATGCACGAAAAACTTGCGCGAAGACACCCCACAGGTAGAACACGTGGTTGCAGTGCATGAGAGGAAGAATAGAGTCCCAAAGAGTGAGGGATAAAGGGAGATTCCTCTGCTTTCTCTTACATGGAGGTCTCAGTGGGAGAAGCACTCTACTGATGAATAAAACTACATTTGCATAACCTGGTAGTCGTTACAATACCAGATCAATGCTGGCTTATTTAATAGCCTTAAAAGTACACAGCAGGAAGCTTGCGGACAGAGCTAAGGTAGTGAATGCCTGCGGCCAGGCCCGTAGCGAGGGGGGGGGGTGTTAGGGGTTCAACCCCCCCCCCCGAAATGTTTCAGATTTTTTAAAAAAACCTGGTTTACTCATGACTTTTAACTGGTTAACTCAATCCCCCTGCTGCTAAGTCTATGAGATGCAAAAAATCAAGAGTCCCTCCAGAACTGCAAGCACGATCTCAAGCAAGTATTAGCAATTTATTCACACTGTCATTAC